GCTAGGCTGCTGGGCGGCTCGGCTGCTGCTGGGCGGCTTGGCGGCTCCTGGGCGGCTCGGCTGCTCCGGGCGGCTCGGCTGCTGCTGGGCGGCTCGGCGGCTCCGGGCGGCTCGGCTGCTGCTGGGCGGCTCGGCTGCTGCTGGGCGGCTCGGTGGCTCCTGGGCGGCTCGGCTGCTCCGGGCGGCTCGGCTGCTACTGGGCCGCGTAGGTAGGGCGGCCGGGCGGGCCGCAGGTAGGGCGGCGGGTAGGCCGCAGGTAGGGCGGCGGGACGGCCGCAGGTAGGGCGGCGGGACGGCCGCAGGTAGGGCGGCGGACGGCCGCAGGTAGGGCGGCGGGTAGGCCGCAGGTAGGGCGGCGGGACGGCCGCAGGTAGGGCGGCGGACGGCCGCAGGTAGGGCGGCGGGTAGGCCGCAGGTAGGGCGGCGGGACGGCCGCAGGTAGGGCGGCGGACGACCGCAGGTAGGGCGGCGGGTAGGCCGCAGGTAGGGCGGCGGGACGGCCGCAGGTAGGGCGGCGGGGAGGCCGCAGGTAGGGCGGCAGGTGGGCCGCGACAGAGTGGCGGGGCCGCTCGAAGGGGTGGCGGGGCCGCTACGGAGTGGCGGGGCCGCGCGTAGGGGTAGCGGGGCCGCGACTGGGTGGCGGGGCCGCGACGGGACGGCGGGGCCGCTAGCAAGGGCGGCAGGTGGGCCGCTAAGGTAGGGCGGCGGCTGGGCCGCGAGTAGGGCGGCGGTCGGGCCGCGAAGTAGGGCGGCGGGGCCGCGAAGGAAAAGGGCGACTCGGAGGGTCGCTAAAAAAAAGGCGCGCGCCTCGGGCGCGCTTCGGTGGGCCCTAAAGAACAGTCCCTAGGATGGGACCTGCTCTGATTCCATGTGAAAAAAGGAACGTGAATGAGTTGACTAGGAACGAAGTGAGTACAAATAGGAAACCCTAATTGGGTTGTACCCCCTATGGGATACCCCACTATAGCCTACACAAATAAGTAAGCTATAATGTTCTGACACCCGCCACATTTCAAATGACCATGAACGAGGCGTTTAGGCCCGTTTTAGATAAATGTGTGATAGTTTACCTTGACGACATTCTCGTTTACAGTCGGGACAAGCAGCAGCACTTAGTCGATCTCGAAGTAGTTTTTAAAATTTTAGCGGAACATCGGTTACTCACCAAGGGTTCCAAGTGCGAGTTTTTTCGGGACAGGCTATAATTTTTAGGACACGTTATTTCGGAGGCTCGAGTTGAAATCGACCCTAAGAAGCTGGATATTATCAACGCGTGGCGTCCCCCGACGAACATTACGGAACTGCAGAGTTTTTTAGGGTTCGTTAATTACGTCCGTCGGTTCGTCCCCGACATGGCACGCTTAACAGCCCCACTCACATATTTACTGCGTAAGGGGGTCGTTTTTACGTTGGGGGAGAAAGAGCATGCTGCCTTCTCTGCCCTGAAAACTGTTCTCTGTTTACCACCCGTCCTACGCATCGCTGACCCACATCGCCCCTTCGAGGTTGTTACAGACGCGAGCGACATCGCCATCGGAGCCGTACTGTTACAGGACTTCGGCAACGGCCTCCAACCCATCGCCTACGAATCACGCAAACTGCATCCGCCTGAGCGAAATTACCCGATACACGACCGCGAAATGCTCGCGATCGTGCATGCATTCAAAGTGTGGCGCTGCTACTTGACCGGCGCAGACGTGACAGTACGGACAGACCATCGATCCCTACAGTACCTCCGTGCACAGCCCCACCTCAACCCACGACAGATTCGGTGGCTCGACTTACTCGAGTCGAACTTGTCAAGAATAATATATATTTCTATATATTGTTTTGTAACTGCCTGTAGTGTAGACTACTGTAGTCAAATAATGTTCTGTTTGGTGGTGCACCTTTCTTCTTGCCTATTTGTACTGCTCGCTCTATAGTGAAACCTCTCTTTTGTTGAAACTTCTCGACTTTCCTAAACTCACTCGAGCTCAATCGCTCCTACCCAACTTACTATGGCTCCTAAGCCTAACGCTCACTAGTCCTTTTTCTCAGAACTTCCATTATACGGTCACCTATAAAAAAGGAGCCTCCAATATCGCCGACGCACTGACCCGCCCCACTGCCCATATCCATGCGATACTACTCGCCCAGACCAGTCCGCTACTGACATGACTATTTACCCACGGATATCAAACAGACCCATTCTTCACAGGAGGAAACTCGCAGCAATTCGCAGCAGCCAAGGGAGTCTATTACGTAAAAGCTGGAACCGACCGCATCTGGGTACCAGGGTACACACTACTACGGGAATTACTGTTACAGGAGGCACACGACGGAGTTACATCGGGACATTTCGGAGTAGAGAAAACACGGCAGCAGCTGCAGCGGTACTATTACTGGCCTGAAATGTTGACCGACGTGCAACGACACGTGGCATCGTGTCCCACTTGCCAGCTCATGAAGTCAACCAGGAAGCGGCCGGCGGGACAATTACAACCAATCCCACCTCCAGAGCATGCTTGGCAACAAGTGACGATGGACTTCGTCACGGGGTTACCAGCCGGGGCGAGTGGGAATGACGCGATCCTGGTCGTCGTCGATCGACTGACGAAAATGGCACACTTCGCAGCCTGCAAGAAAACAATCACAGCCGAGGAAACAGCCCGACTCTTCATCACCACCGTCGTTCGACTGCACGGGATACCAGCATCGATCATCAGCGACAGAGACACGAAGTTTACCAGCAATTTCTGGCGGAACCTGTGGCAGCAGTTCGGCACGCGACTACAATTCAGTTCATCGTATCACCCCGAAACCGACGGACAGACAGAACGGACAAACCAAACCATGGAGCAGCTCATTAGGGCCACGTGCGACGACCCAAACACGTGGGAGCAGCAGCTGCCACTCATCGAATTCGCATACAACAACGCGCCATCTGCCACGACCCAACAGTCGCCGTTTTATCTGAATTACGGACAAGACCCCACAGTACCCATGACCCCAAATCCCGACAACCCCGTTCCACGTGCGCAACAATTTGCCGAGATTTTGCAAGCAGCACGGACCAGGGCAGCAGAAGGAATAAAAAAAATCGAACATCATCGCTAAACGCAACGCCGACCGCCACCGGAGACCTGTCACTTATCAGCCTGACGACCTCGTTTTACTCGACACTCAAAACCTTCGCCTGCCCATCACTCCAAAACTCCGCCCCCGATACTGTGGGCCATTTCGAATTAGCCACATGATCACACCTGTCACCGCGCACCTCCTCCTCCCTGCTGACTGGTACGTCAGCTCCTCGTTCCACGTCAGCTTGCTTCGCCCTTACGTACCATCCACCGGCCAACTCCCACGACACCGACCATCCAGCATGGCACGACCACCATCCGAACCAATCATCACCCCCGACAAAATCCTGAGTCACAGAGTTCGCGACCCCCGAGGAGCCCGAAAGATCGAGTTCCTGATCCGCTGGAAAGACCGTACACCTACCTAGGACAACTGGGTTCCCCAGGACAGAATTGAAAACCACCCTGTCCTCACCGAATATCTGCGCAGCCGAAACCTCAAAGATGTCCACACACTTTCGTAAGAAGGACCTCCTTAGGAGGGGGGGGGTAGTGTAAGGAAAACCCCTTTTCCTTACTTCGCATCCCTGCTCAACGCGTACATCACTGTAGCACCTCAGTCAGCACCGTTACCACTCGCGATCATCGCATCGACAATCATCCCGCCATTTCTCGCACATCGCATCCCGACCTCACGGCTCGGCTGGTAACCCGAGCTCCGGGCCTACGCCTCGACACTTTCCCAACCTCAGTCCCAGGCTCGTCGCGCGACTACCACAGACCATTACCGTTACCACTGTAGTTTCGCTATATATTCTTCGCTCACGCCCTCGCTCGTTGTATTCTTGCTTCGATAGTGCAATTCTCGTTCGTTCACTCAATTGCACTCGTAACAGCTATAAACTTTGAAAATGAGGGGAGGGAGAGTGGGGAATGACCATGATTGTAGCGCACACCATGAAACACTGCCTTTCTACACTAATTCATCCTCCTTTAGTCATCCAGCTTGGTTCGTTAGCCGACGGATGCTGCCTTGCGAGGCTGATGCGGCACGTAAAATGGCAGTCGCAGCCAATCATCAGCGACCTTTGATCGCCAAATTCACCGAACCTGGTGGAGGCACAGAGAGGCACGGGATGTGATGAAATCAGCGGGGAGATCATGCGACCAGTAGCTTTCACAAGTTTCTCAAGACGACAATCCCAAAACATAAGTTCCCTGTGCAGTCTTACGCGCACTCTGAAGCCTAAATATGTACCGGCCCCGACGTTCTAGCTGAGCAGCAGCTAGTGAGCAGCAGGGAGTGATCGTTATTTTCCACGATTCGCGTTAACATGGCAGAAATCGTTTGCGTTTACAGCGGTCCGCTTCCTTTCGAGCTCGTGGCTGTAGTAGGTTGAAGTAGGACTGAAGCTACGTGAACGGTAACAGCAGCAACTTCGGGTGCGTTTTTTTCCTCGTTTCAGGCTTCCCGAGACTAGGTTGGTGACCGCTGCGATATGTAGACATCAGTAACCTAAGAAAATAGCAGCTGCTTAATAGCTGACACATAGTGAGCTGACACGCAGTGAGCGTACAGATAGTGAGCGGACACACAGTGAGCGGACACGAGGTAGGAATCTACCCTGATTATATCGTCAGGGCATGTGTGGGTCCATTAACGGACGATGCAGCCGACGTCTCGAGCCGCGAGAACCACCAGATGCCACGTGTCTGCTCCTCAGAGTACTAGCAGATTATTTGGTACTTAAAGATTAGCCGCTGGTTAAAACTCAGCGACTTTAGGGTTATACCAATTTGCAGCCATACCATATGCCTAGGTCACGGATTCGGTCAAAGCTTTTGACTCAATCGCACGAGGTCTAGGGTTACCAGGTTACCACCCGAGGTCGTTTGTTTCAACGAACACCGCCTCAAGGGTTTCGCGTCGGCTTCGCCATGCCTCGTGGCCGGCACGCGCCCGTGAGCTGGGCGACGGTGCTGCCGACCATAGCGCACCTGTGCCTGCTGCTCTTCACGTGCCTCCTTATCCTGAAACTCCAAGGCCGAATGACATGGTCCTGGTGGTGAGTGCAGTGTCTTTGGTGTGAATTCTCCCTGTGCTGCTTCTAAACACCTGTGCCTGCTGCTCTTCACGTGCCTCCTCATCCTGAAACTGCAAGGCAGATGGACATGGTCCTGGTGGTGAGTGCGGTACTCCGGTTATGGGTGCAGGATTTGGTGGTGAATGCGGTGCTCTGGTGGTGAGTGCAGTGTCTCAGGTGTGAATCCTTTCTGCGTCTCTTTTTAGCACCTGTGCCTGCTGCTCTTCACATGCCTCCTCATCCTGAAACTGCAAGGCCGATGGACATGGTCCTGGTGGTGAGTGCGGTGCTCCGGTGATGGGTGCAGGATTTGGTGGTGAGTGCGAAATCTAATGGCGAGTGCAGCCTCTCGTCGTTTCCACATCAAATCTTCCCGTGTATCCCTCCCATTTCCTCCCCCTACCATCCCCGGTACTCTTTCCCTTCCCCTGCAGGTGGGTGTTCTGTCCGCTGTGGGTGTTTCACGGCGCGCTGTCGCGCTGCAACTGCTCCATGCCCGCGCCCAGCTCACCCTACGACCGCCACTGGCGCCCCTGCCACTCGCTTCTCACGCTGCCGCTGCTCGTTGCCTTTGAGCTGCTGCTCTGCTGCTACCTCGCTGCAAGAGAGAGTGCGTCCTCCCCCCCTCACTCTCTCTCTCTCTCTCTCTCTCTCTCTCTCTCTCTCTCTCTCTCTCTCTCTCTCTCTCTCTCTCATCCCGTACATCTCGTTTCATATATATGTCATCGTAAGCGCGCCCCAGGTTCCCTGTCTAGGTTCGCTGCCGCTGCTCGTTGCCTTTGAGCTGCTGCTCTGCTGCTACCTCGCTGCAAGAGAGAGTGCGTCCTTTGTCTCTCTGCCGCTCGCTGCCTCTTGTTCAACCATCCATGACCCATCACCCCTCCCTCCACTCACCCCTCCCCTGCAGTGTGTGTGGCGCGACCACCAGTGGACCTGGCCATTGTGTTCCTCCCTCTCATTCACCATCCACCACCCACCCACACAATGATTTTTGAGGCGCCTCAAAAACCCACCCACAGAATGATTTTTGAGGCGCCTCAAAAACCCACCCATACAATGATCGCACGTTGCCCATCACCCACCCACACAGTCATCGCCTATTGCCTGTCACCCTTGCCATCACCCGCTGGTCGTCAACCCCTACCCTGCAGTGTGTGTGGCGCAGCCGCCAGTGGACCTGGCCATGGTGTTTCTTATTCACCATCTTTGGCCTATCCTCTCAGTCATTGCACATCAACCATCCATGACCCATCACCCCTCCCTCCACTCCACTCTCACCCCCTGACAGTGTGTGTGGCGCGGCCGCCAGTGGACCTGTCCATTGTGTTCCTGCCTCTCTTTCACCATCCATGACCCATCACCCCTCCCTCCACTCCACTCTCACCCCCTACAGTGTGTGTGGCGCGGCCGCCAGTGGACCTGTCCATTGTGTTCCTGCCTCTCTTTCACCATCCATGACCCATCACCCCTCCCTCCCCTCTCACCCCCTGACAGTGTGTGTGGCGCGGCCGCCAGTGGACCTGTCCATTGTGTTCCTGCCTCTCTTTCACCATCCATGACCCATCACCCCTCCCTCCACTCCCCTCTCACCCCCTGACAGTGTGTGTGGCGCGGCCGCCAGTGGACCTGTCCATTGTGTTCCTGCCTCTCTTTCACCATCCATGACCCATCACCCCTCCCTCCACTCCACTCTCACCCCCTGACAGTGTGTGTGGCGCGGCCGCCAGTGGACCTGTCCATTGTGTTCCTGCCTCTCTTTCACCATCCATGACCCATCACCCCTCCCTCCCCTCTCACCCCCTGACAGTGTGTGTGGCGCGGCCGCCAGTGGACCTGTCCATTGTGTTCCTGCCTCTCTTTCACCATCCATGACCCATCACCCCTCCCTCTCCTCCCCTCTCACCCCCTGACAGTGTGTGTGGCGCGGCCGCCAGTGGACCTGTCCATTGTGTTCCTGCCTCTCTTTCACCATCCATGACCCATCACCCCTCCCTCCACTCCACTCTCACCCCCTACAGTGTGTGTGGCGCGGCCGCCAGTGGACCTGTCCATTGTGTTCCTGCCTCTCTTTCACCATCCATTACCCATCACCCCTCCCTCCCCTCTCACCCCCTGACAGTGTGTGTGGCGCGGCCGCCAGTGGACCTGTCCATTGTGTTCCTGCCTCTCTTTCACCATCCATGACCCATCACCCCTCCCTCCACTCCCCTCTCACCCCCTGACAGTGTGTGTGGCGCGGCCGCCAGTGGACCTGTCCATTGTGTTCCTGCCTCTCTTTCACCATCCATGACCCATCACCCCTCCCTCCACTCCACTCTCACCCCCTGACAGTGTGTGTGGCGCGGCCGCCAGTGGACCTGTCCATTGTGTTCCTGCCTCTCTTTCACCATCCATGACCCATCACCCCTCCCTCCCCTCTCACCCCCTGACAGTGTGTGTGGCGCGGCCGCCAGTGGACCTGTCCATTGTGTTCCTGCCTCTCTTTCACCATCCATGACCCATCACCCCTCCCTCTCCTCCCCTCTCACCCCCTGACAGTGTGTGTGGCGCGGCCGCCAGTGGACCTGTCCATTGTGTTCCTGCCTCTCTTTCACCATCCATGACCCATCACCCCTCCCTCCACTCCCCTCTCACCCCCTGACAGTGTGTGTGGCGCGGCCGCCAGTGGACCTGTCCATTGTTTTCCTGCCTCTCATTCTGCTCGAGGGGCTCGTGCTCGTTGACAACTTCAGGTGAGACTTCAGGTGATTTCAGGTGGATTCAGGTCAATTGGGTACATTCAGGTTGACTTAGGTGACTTCAATTGAGGTACCAGGCAAGAGCAGATAAGGTTTTTCACGAGGCATTTGTTCGGATTGGCATCCTCAAGTGCCCCTCACCGGGCACTCATGCGGACCTTATTGGGCCCCTCCTGTTCTGCTCCCAAGCTGTCACAGAGGTGTGTCACCTGAGGAGTGTGTGCATCCCTTTCCCATTCCCCCATCGCCCAATCAATGTGTGCCACGTCAGGATGTGCATGGCGCTGATGCCGGGGGAAGATGACAACATGACGGATGAGGCTTTATGGGAGACACTGCCGGTATGCATGGAGTACGGTGTATGCATGCATGCTGGTGCATGCTGGTTCATGTTGATACATGGCACTAGCTTGGAATGCATGAGCTGCGGTGCGTGCATGGGCTGTAGCTGTTGTGCTGGTCATCGATGTTGATGTTCATGGAAGCGGTTACAGGTTCTCCTTTCTTCTCCTTCTTTCTCCTCTTTCCCTCCCCCCCTTCCCATCTCTCCGCATTCAAAGCACTTTGCAGTGGCAGTGTCAATGATATTCTTTATGGCAGCAACTGTGTTTTCTGTTCTTAAGCTCAATGGTAAGCCACCGTATATGTTTTTGTTTTTTTAGTTGTATCATTATTCTTACCATTATCAGTGTTGTTGTTGTTGTTGTTGTTGTTATTAGTATTATAATTATTCTTTATAGTTATCAAGATGATGATGATGATGATGATGATGATGATGATGATGATGATGATGATGATGATGATGATGATGATGATGATGATGATGATGATGATGATGATGATGATGATGATGATGATGATGATGATGATGATGATGATGATGATGATGATGGGTAAGCCACCAAACTGGCCCACCCATGCTGCCTCTGCCCCACTCACCTGTGTTGAGTGCAGATGTGACGGAGGTTATTGGCATCGACTGGTGGACATTGCTGGTGGACCTCTGGTGAGTCATTGCTGGTGGACCTCTGGTGAGTCATTGCTGGTGGACCTCAGGTGAGTCCGTGTTGCGTGCTCACTGCTCACTCTGCTAACTCAACCGCACGGTAACCACCAGTGATCACCAGTGAGCACACTTGCTTGTATCACTCGTGAGAAGTCTCCCAAGTCATGCAAACGCACCCAGTGGACCTCTGCTGAGTGCTAGCTGCTCCCTCTGGTCCATCAACTGGTCTCTTTCCCCACTCGCATATGTGCGCTCCCCCCTTCTTTATGTACGCATATGTGTGCATTGGCAAGTTCTTTGCGTTCCTCCTCTGCATGCAGTGGACCAACTCTCCCCTTTCAACTCTGTTAAACCTACATGTATGCCCCTTCCCCCCTGCCCCTCTGTTTCCCCACACATCCTGCCCCCTCTGTCAGCATTGGCGAGTTCTTTGCGTTTCTCCTCTGCATGCAGTGGACCAATCCGCATCAACCTCCCCCCCGCCCCTCCCCAGCCCCCTCTCCTCTCCTCCGCCCCTCCTACTCCTCCCTTTCCCTCCTCCCCTCCTCCCAACCACCCTCCTCCTCCTCTTCCTCCTCCTCCTCCTCCTCCACTTCCTCGCCCCCTCAAGCTACCGCCATCACCATCACCACCCCTCTTCTCGCATCACAATCCCCACAGAGGGGCAGCAGGGGTGGCAGCAGCAGCAGGGGAGGGGCAGCGGGGGCAGAGGGCGAGGCAGAGAGCACTATTGCTGCTGGTGGTAGTGCTGCTGATGCTGCTGCTGCTGCCGCTGGTACTGTTGCTGCTGCTGCCGCTGGTACTGTTGCTGCTGCTGCCGCTGGTACTGTTGCTGCTGCTGCTGCTGTTTATGCTTCTGGTAGGGTGGTTGATAGGCGGGTGGGTAGTGGAGGGTCGGGCGCAGGAAGGGCAGGGAGAGGGGCCAGAAGAGGGGGAGGAGGGGGAGATGGGGAGGAGGCGGAGGAGGATGAAGATGCAGAGATAAGACGAGGAGGAGGAAGAGTAGGGGAAGGAGGAGGGGAGAGAGGTGGGGGTGGAGGAGGAGGGGAAGGAGATGGGGGAGGAGGTGGAGGAGGAGGTGGAGGAGGAGGGGGGGCAGGAGCCGTGGGAGGAGGGGCGAGAGGGAGTGAGGAAGGGGGGGACGAGGACAGTGAGAGTGAGGTTGAGTTTCACTGCGGTGCCCCAGAGGTGGGGGGACATCTGCTCAAAGCCGGGGTGATAGTCTTCCAAGTGTTGCTCTGCATGCGCCTCGAAGGCCAGCCGAACTGGGCGGCACACATGTCCTATTGGATGCTCTTCTCGCCACTCCTCGCTGTCCAGCTGGCAGCGCTGATGTCAGCGCTGACTCAGCTCGCGGAGGGGGTGATGCTGTTGTATGCGCCCGAGTCCGGGCGGCGGTTTTCGGCGGTAGTGCGGGAGCATGACCCGTTTATGTTTGTGACGCGGGGCATGCGGCTGGCGGGGTGGTGGTGGCGGGATGACGAAGTGCGGGAGGAGCAGAAGAGTCTTACTGCCTCTCTCTTCCCGGGGTAAGTGTTGGGAGGTGAGGGCGCTGCCTAGGGTGACTTTTGAGTCGACTCAAAAGGAGCAGAAGAGTCTCACTGCCTCTCTCTTCCCGGGGTGAGTGTTGGGAGGTGAGGGTGCTGCCCAGGGTGGTAGTGGCACTGCACTGGGGCATGATGATTGAGTGAGAAAGTAGTCGAAGTGGTTCCAGACCACATCGTGCCAGAAAAGGGTAATGCAACATCAGCACGGATTGATGCTGTGTGAAACACAAAGAGCGAACGGAGCTCAATGCTTATCTCACCACGTTATTTGCCTTCCCAACTTCCACCGCTTCCCTTTCCCCCACCCCGCCCTCTCCACAGGGCATATGATACATTTCGAAGCTGAGCCTCCCGATCACATAAAGCAAATGCGCAAGGGTCAGCTGGCAGAGCAGGCGGTGCGGCTGCAGGCGGCACTGATTTCACTTCCCTTCCCCTCCACTACCCCTCCCCTCACCTGACAGCACGTATGATACATTCGAGGCCGTACCCCCCGACCACATAAAGCGCATGAGAAAAGGGCAATTAGCAGAGGAGGTGGTGCGGCTGCAGGCGGCCTTGGCGGAGCAGGTGGAGACGGGCAAGGCGCAGCGACAGGAGCTGGAGCGCGTGCAGCAGGAGAAGGTGCTGTGCCGCGTGTGCTTTGAGCGCGAGATCAGCCTCGTGCTGCTGCCCTGCCGCCACCGCGTGCTCTGCCAGTGAGTCACCCCAGTCCCCATGCCCATGCCCCCGTGCCTCATGCCCCCAGTCCCCGTATTCGTGTCATGGGTCGAATACTGTGCTGATAGGTGGCTTGCAAGAGGGTGAGAGAGCAGGGAGGGCTCTGGTGTGAGGGTGGGAGCTGGCTGGAGCGAGTGCAGCAGGAGAAGGTGCTGTGCCGCATGTGCTTCGAGCGCGAGATCAGCCTCGTGCTGCTGCCCTGCCGCCACCGCGTGCTCTGCCAGTGAGTTGCCTCCCTTGTGCGAGTGAGTGACCTCCCTTGTGCGAGTGAGTGACCTCCCTTGTGCGAGTGAGTGACCTCCCTTGTGCGAGTGGGTTGAATGATGTGCAAGTGAGTCCTCTGCTGAGCTAGCGAGTGCTTATTTCCCCTTCCCCCTTGCTGCTTTCCCCGTGGCACCACCAGTCCCTGTGCGGACAACTGTCGGCATAACCCCTTATGATGCTAAATCCTTTACCCTCACCCCCTCCTCTCGTCCCCTCTTGTGCCCATATACCCTACCCCTCTCCCCCACTCCCTCCCCCCATCACACCACCAGTCCCTTGTTCAGACAGGCGTCGGCAGTGCCCCATATGCTGTAACTCCCTTGACCCTCACCCCCTCCTCTCTCCCTTCTCCCCCCCATCACGCCACCAGTCCCTGTGCAGACAGGCGTCGGCAGTGCCCCATATGCTGTAACTCCCTTGACCCTCACCCCCTCCTCTCTCCCTTCTCCCCCCCATCACGCCACCAGTCCCTGTGCAGACAGGCGTCAGCAGTGCCCCATTTGCTGTAACTCCCTTGACCCTCACCCCCTCCTCTCTCCCTTCTCCCCCCCATCACGCCACCAGTCCTTGTGCAGACAGGCGTCGGCAGTGCCCCATATGCTGTAACTCCCTTGACCCTCACCCCCTCCTCTCTCCCTTCTCCCCCCCATCACGCCACCAGTCCCTGAGCAGACAGGCGTCGGCAGTGCCCCATATGCTGTAACTCCCTTGACCCTCACCCCCTCCTCTCTCCCTTCTCCCCCCCATCACGCCACCAGTCCCTGAGCAGACAGGCGTCGGCAGTGCCCCATTTGCTGTAACTCCCTTGACCCTCACCCCCTCCTCTCTCCCTTCTCCCCCCCATCACGCCACCAGTCCCTGAGCTGACAGGCGTCGGCAGTGCCCCATTTGCTGTAACTCCCTTGACCCTCACCCCCTCCTCTCTCCCTCCTCCCCCCCATCACGCCACCAGTCCCTGTGCAGACAAGTGTCGGCAGTGCCCCATATGCAGGCGGCACATTGCCGACCGCATGGCCGTGTTTGACGTGTGAAGGGGGGAAACGCCAGGTGTGATGTGGATATTACTTTTGAGGCGCCTCAGTCCCCGGACTGCACGGTTGTGTTTGATGTGTGAGGGGGGGAGGAGCGGTGCCCATGTCCCGAGGCTCCTCACAACTTGACACGCATTTTGGGACGAATGTCGCTTCTTGAGATAGTGATGGTGTCTGCTTGTATTATGTGATAGTGAGGTGTGCATTCTGCTGTAGTTGGGGCGGGGAGGGGGAACGGGGGAAGGGGGGGAAGGGGAGAAAAGTGGGAGGAAGGGGAGGGAAAGGGAGGGGAATGGGAGGGAAGGGGGGGAAAGGGGGGGAAGGGGGGAGAAGTGCGTTACTTACCATTGTTGTGCATTGCTGGTTATCTAAGCAGCTGTGGTTCACTCGTGGAGTCGGGGAGATGGTGGGTTCACAGGCTGGTTAGGGTACATGGGCTGCACTGTTGGTGCTCCCAAGCTTGTATGCTCCAAATGTTAGTCAAGGCTTAAAGGTATATACAGTAGGTGGTACACCATATATGACACATATACATATAATAAGTTCGCACGTTAGTTAGCAAAGGCGGGAAAATCCGAGTACCGCACTGAAGGAACCTTCTATAGTCTTCATAGGTAAACTTATGCCAGACACTTTACACATGGATCAGCATTGTAAACTTGACTGGTCAGCTTGGTATACTGGGCTATTTTGGCATCTGGTCGTATATGGGGCTGGGCTATATTGGCATCTGGTCCTATGCACAGATCTGGTCTGGTCATATAGAGCTCATGGCAAACATGCAGCAAGTCTACACATGCTACGTGCTAACAAAATCCTCCACACACACACAAGACTGACAAGTAAAATGAAACGTGAGGTTTAACATGCATTAGCACGCAACTTGGCTCTCATGCGTTTGCGGCGCCTCCTTATCTGACGCCGCGTCAAAGGAATGCACTCTAAGCCTGTTGCGGCGGCATTGCCAATGCAAGGAGGCGGCAGTTCTTGTGGTTCAGACGGAGCAGGAAGATTCACGCGAGCATTCCCGATCTCCTGAAGCCTTGCGATGCAGGCCACGAGTTCAGGAACGCCACCTGAAGGTCCGGATGGCTTTTGAGGCGCCTCACAAGGAGAATTCACGCGAGCATTCCCAATCTCCTGAAGCCTTGAGATGCAGGCTACGAGCTCGGTTTTTACGCGTTTGCGGTGCCTCCTTTTCTGACGCCTCGTCTCCGGAATACACCCTAAGCCTGCCCTGGAGTCAGTGTCATTGCAAGGAGGCGATTTTGGAGCATCAGACGGAGCGGGAGGATTCGCAGGAGGATCCACGCGCGCATTCCCAATCTCCTGAAGCCGTGCAATGCAGGCCACGAGTTTGAGAACCCCGCCTGAAGGGCCGGACGGGCTGAGCCGATAGTGCAGTGCAGGCTTTAATCTCTTCTTATTCAAAAGATGATCCACCACTTTGGATGCATCCACCCACCTGGCGTTGAGCCGAGTGACAACTGAAGCAGGCACAACTGGGGTGGTGGCAGCTGCAGCTTTTTTCTTTACTGTCACAGCACCACCTGCAGTGCCGTTCGCTCCGTTCGTTTTAGTCACACTGTCGTTTGTCACGCTGTTGATTGTCACACTGTTGTCTGTCACACTGGCGCCGCCCTGCTCGGGGTCTTTGAGCCTGTCTTCGTGGCACAGGAAGAACACGTGCCCACTGTTCCCGCTGTAGAAGGCTTCTGATTGGTCCGCGAGTGCTGCTGCCACGTCAGCAATGCGCTTCTCCCACGTGGCACCCTTGAGGTTGTAATAGCCGGCCTCATATTCCTCCACGTATTCCCTGCGACGTGGCAGCAGCACAGAGACACAAAGAGGCACATGGGGAGGTGTAATATGAGATTCATTAGGGGTTCATCAAGAATCAATCATCTTCCTGTACTCCCTTCACTGCAGCAGCAGCAGCAGCAGCAGCAGCAGCAGCAGCAGCAGCACACTGAAGCACATGGTGGTGAGAGTTTCTTGACTAACTCCCTGCAACGCACCTCACAGCGGCACGTGGGGGGTCAGGTTCGGCAAAAGAGATGGGGTGGAGCAGGGCAGGGCCGGGCAGGGCGGGGTGGGGTGAGGAAGCGCGGGTCAGGGAGGGGAGGGCAGGCCGGGTAGGGGGAGGGCGGGGCAGGGAGAGAAGGGCGGGGCAGGGAGAGAAGGGCGGGGCAGGGAGAGAAGGGCGGGGCAGGGAGAGAAGGGCGGGGCAGGGAGAGAAGGGCGGGGCAGGGAGAGAAGGGCGGGGCAGGGAGAGAAGGGCGGGGCAGGGAGAGAAGGGCGGGGCAGGGAGAGAAGGGCGGGGCAGGGAGAGAAGGGCGGGGCAGGGAGAGAAGGGCGGGGCAGGGAGAGAAGGGCGGGGCAGGGCGGGCAGGGAGGGGCAGGCAGCATGCGCTGCATACCACGCAGCAGTGCGGCGGGGGAGCGGTTATCCGCCACGTCCTGGTTCCCCCCGAGACAGGTAGTGCGGGCGGGGGGCGGGGGGGAGCCTCGGCACGCAGGCGAGAGGGATTGGGGAGGGCGGGAGACGGGTGGGAGCCTCAACGCTTGGGCAAGAGGCGACACACGGTGGCGGGGGAGTGGGGAGGGCGGGGGAGCAGGGGAGCGGGGAAGCTGGGGAGCGGGGGAGTGAGGAGCGGCATGCCGCGCAGCAGTGCGGGCGGGGGAGTTTGTTGCCCGCCTCCTCCTTCCCCCCGAAGTCCAGCAGAAACACCCCGCTCTGTTTACATCTTCTCAGAAAACAGATTCCGCTTACCGCGCAGCAGTGCGGGCGGGGGAATTGTAGTCCGCCTCCTCCTTCTTCCCCCCGAAGTCCAGCAGAAACACTCCGCTCTTCTGCATCTTCCGCCTCCGCTTCTCCTGCCGCTTCCGCCCCTTCTCCTGCAGCCGGTGCTCCGCCTTGAGCGCTTCCAGCCGCTTCTTCCGACTCCGCGGATCTTCCTGCGCCAACTGCATCCGCGCAAGCTCGATGAATCTCTTCCGCTCCGCCGCTCCGCCCTCCGCTACAGTCTCTTGCGATTGATCCGAGGGATTTTGACTCTCTCGCATTCGCTCCCCCTCACGTTCTTGATCCTGATCCTGCATCCGCTTCTCCTCCCGCTTCCGCGCGCTTTCCCGCAGCCGGTGCTCCGCCTTGAGCGCTTCCAGCCGCTTCTTCCGACTCCGCGGGTCTTCCTGCGCCAACTCCATCCGCAACTGGTCGTTCAACCTCTTCCGCTTCGCCGCACCGCTCTCCGCTGCAGTCTCTCGCGACTGATCCGAGGGGTTTGCACTCGCTTGCTTTTGCTCCTCCTCATACTCTTGATCCGGTTCCTGCTTCACTACTATCTCTTGCGACTGATCCGAGGGGTTTGCACTCGCTTGCTTTTGCTCCTCCTCATTCTCTTGATCCGGTTCCTGCTTCACTACTATCTCTTGCGACTGATCCGAGGGGTTTGCACTCGCTTGCTTTTGCTCCTCCTCATTCTCTTGATCCGGTTCCTGCTTCACTACTATCTCTTGCGGCTGATCCGAAGGAATTTTACTCTCTTGCCTGTTCTCCTCTTCATCCTTATTCTGCTTTGATGCGTCGCACGCGGATGGGATTGCACGGGGAGACCCAGGCGTGCGCCCGCTCGCGGATGCTTGATTGCCCGCAGGTGCGATAGCGCGGGGGGGGCAATGCCCGCACCCTTCTGTGTGGAGCAGAAAAAACAAGCGGCCGGCATCGTCGTAGCAGTACGGCACGATGCCCGCGGCGCTGTAGCAGGAGCTCACCGCCGCGAGCCACGCGTTTGACTCCGCCATCGATCTTGCCGCGCAGACTGAGAGATATGTTGCACCCGAAAGGTGGGAGTTTTGCTGTTTCGTACGCGATAAAAATTCCTTAACCTTCGACAACGTTTGCACAATCACCAAACTAGTGAAGTTAACGACGTTTTTTACTACCATATGAGCACAATCAAACAGGGCAACACTAAAACAGGGAAACTTCATAACGAACAGTAGAGTAACAAACAAACCAACAAGTCTGCTAAAACAAGAGAATTGGCAAAAGGGGTGCATATGGCGACGCTTTGTAAAACCCGTTACCGTATTCCAGTATTGCCAAGTCGTATATGGGCCGACCATGACTTGCAGGATCATGCTCTCTCAGGTCAAGCCCACACTCAGCTCGCGCTCGCGCTCACGCTCAGCTCACGCTCAGCCTCACGCTCATGCTCATGCACACAGGCTGATCAATCAATACAACAACCGGACAAGCACCCTTCCTCGCACAAGTCCTACCTAATTATTTTAGTGTTAGTTACAGGCAAGAAATAAACACAGTGCGCGCAGCACACACAGCTATGGTAGGTCAGTTATAGATATATCGAAAAATTAGCGGTTGTATGTACTGCGACTTAGCAGTTCCATTCCATTGAAGTCCCCTCAAAGTACTGTAGCAAAGCTGCCAGTGCCGTGAATTGGCACGCAGGCAGGGCAGGTGGGCAGGGCAGCCCTTCAGAAGGCAGGCAGTTAATGGAACCTTCAGGTCAGAAGAGCGCATGCCCGCAAAATAATTTACAAGTTGCACCGCTCTTGGACGGGAACGTTGGCCAGTGAGGGACGATCGGAGGGCTTACTAAAGGGCAGCCGAAGAAAGTGAAACCAGCCGAGATTAATAACCTGTTCGGAAGAACTTTAATTGACCCAAAAACGGCTTCTTAGACGCCTCAGATGAGTTTCAGCCTAGCACAGCAGCCGTGGCTGTAGAAAAAGAGGGGTAGAGTGAGGGCGGCGTGGAGAGGGCGAGGGCAGGAGGTAATTAGACAGGGGACTGACATAGGCTGAGTGATTGCGAATTCAACTGAAAACAGCCAACACAGGGTATAGTTTTCAGGAGTCGCCGACAGCCCATTAAGAAGCTATACAGAAGGAATGTTGGAAAGGAAAACTGTACTGTCACTGGCATGAGCACCAGCTTGTGCCAAGCCCACACAGAGAAGATACTGGCCAATCAGAGCGCACCTCCCAGAGCAACAGAGCGCCACGTGGCAGCAGCTGAGCGGTCGAGAACCTCCATGACCTCCTCCTCGGTCTGGTAAGAACAGGGAGGGAGGGGCGAGATGGGACCAGCAGAAGTCAGATCAGGACAAAAGTCTCACAAAGTCAACCAGAGTAAACTGTGCTGTCAAATAAGAAGGCGTGGTGTGAAATGCAGGGGTACTGCTCATGTTTGACACGGCCCATCCCCCCCCCTGCTGCATTTGCCATGCTGCCGCATGCCTTCACCCCACCCTTCTCGCCCTCACCCCATCGGATTAATCTTCCCCTTCCACCTGATTTTTCCCCTGTCTCTCACCTCACCTCGCAGTGCTCCTTTTGAGTCGACTCAAAAGTCACCCCATCGGATTAATCTTCCCCTTCCCCCTGATTTTTGAGTCGACTCAAAAGTCATCTTCCCCTTCCCCCTGATTTTTGAGTCGACTCAAAAGTCATCTTCCCCTTCCCCCTGATTTTTGAGTCGACTCAAAAGTCATCTTCCCCTTCCCCCTGATTTTTGAGTCGACTCAAAAGTCATCTTCCCCTTCCCCCTGATTTTTGAGTCGACTCAAAAGTCATCTTCCCCTTCCCCCTGATTTTTCCCCTGTCTCTCACCTCGCACTGCTCCAGCAGCTGCTCTCGATTGGGCATGGCCCACCCCCACAGCTGTCAACCTCCCCGCTCCACCACCTTCCTTTTCTTGTTCTCACATCCTTCTTGGTTCCCCCTCCTCTTCTTCCCCCCCCCCCCCCCCCCCCCCTGCCTCTCACAACGCACTGCTCTAGCAGCTGCTCTCGCTTGGGCATAGACCCCTACAGCTGCACCGCCACCTGCACTGCACGGCTCTCAGCCTCCCAACCCCCTCAATCCCTTCCTTGCTCTCACTCCCACCCCCACACCTGCACCGCCATACACCTCTCACCATCTCACTCCCTCTCTCACCATTCCCACCCCTCCTCCTCGCTACACATGTGTCTCACCTCGCACTGCTCCAGCAGCTGCTCTCGCTTGGGCATGGCCCACCCCCACAGCTGTCAACCTCCCCACTCCACCACTTCCGTTTTCTTGTTCTCACCCCCTTGGTTTCCCCTTCTCTTCTCCCCCCCCCCTCTGCCGCTCACCTCGCACTGCTCCAGCAGCTGCTCGCGCTTGGGCATGGCCCACCCCCACAGCTGTACCGCCACCTGCACTGCGCGGCTCTGCTGGTCACGCGTCATCTCGGCGCCTGCAGGGAGGGGTGAGGGAGGAGTGCGGAAGGGTCAGGCGGGGTCAGGGAGCGAATTACCAAAGAGGGAGCACAACAAGATTCAAAACAGAGTTCTCGAAATGCTCTGCTGGTCACGAATCCCTGCAGCACCAGACGAGTTGGATTGGGAAGACAAGATAGCTGCAGCAGAGAGAAACGTTTTGAGACGTCTCAAAACACGCCAGACGAGTTGGATTGGGAAGACAAGACAGCTGCAGCAGAGAGAAACGCACGCCCACCACTAGGGTGAGCAGCTTGGCAACGGAGAGAGTGGACCCCCTTTGAGTCTGCTTTTGAGTCGACTCAAATGGAGAGAGTGGACCCCCTTTGACGGGCCAGAGCACACCAGGGAATGCACGCAAGTCAAGGAGGGTCAAGCCGAGTCAACAAGAGTCAAGCCGAGTCAACAAGAGTCAAGCCGAGTCAAGCACTTACAGTCTTCCACCAGGGTGAGCAGCTTGGCAACAAACAGCGCCGAACCCCCTTTGACGGGCCACAGCACGCTGGGGCAGGCAGCGAGTCAAGAAGGGTTGACGAGAGTCAACAAGAGTCAAGCAAGTCAAGCACTTACAGTCCTCCACCAGAGTGAGCAGCTTGGCGACAAACAGCGCCGACCCTCCTTTGACAGGCCAGAGCACGCTGGGGCAGGCAGCGATGCGCGCCACAACAGCAAGAGACAGGTCAACCCAGTCATCGTCCTCCGGATCAAGCAAGTCAAGCAGAGTCTGCGCGGAGGAGCCCTCTGGCAGCACGTGCAGCAGCCCGTGCATGCCCCAGTCCAGCACCTCCCCTGCTGTGGCATCCAAACACGACCCATCCTCCTCTAGTTTCTGGTGTAGGGAGAGGGGGAGGGAAAGAGTGGGATGGGGGGAGGGGGGCACTGTAGGTAGCCCTCGGGCAGCACGTGCAGCAGCCCGTGCATGCCCCAGTCCAGCACCTCCCCTGCTGTGGCATCCGAACACGACCCATCCTCCTCTAGTTTCTGGTGTAGGGAGAGGGGGAGGGAAAGAGTGGGATGGGGGGAGGGGGGCACTGTAGGTAGCCCTCGGGCAGCACGTGCAGCAGCCCGTGCATGCCCCAGTCCAGCACCTCCCCTGCTGTGGCATCCGAACACGACCCATCCTCCTCTAGTTTCTGAGTTGGAGAGACAGGGAGTCGCGGAGAGGAGGATGAAGAGAGGGGTATGGTGAGAATACGGATGCGGACAAGGGGAGGAAACAGGGGGATGGGGAGCACTATGGGGAGCCCTCGGGCAGCACATGAAGCAGCCCGTGCATGCCCCAGTCCAACACCTCCCCTGCTGTCGCATCCGAGCACGATCCATCCTCCTCTAGTTTCTGGCGTGGGGGAAAGGGGAAATGGGGGAAAATGCGGATAAGAGGGGGACGATATCAAGAGGGCTGGGCCAAGGGGGTTGTGGTCAAGTTTCTGGGGAGAGGAGAGGGGGGGTGGGGACAGGGGGATGAGAGGGGATAAGCGGGGTTGTGAAGGTGAGGGGTTACACTGTGCTGCTTTGAAATCTCTCTCTAAAGGAGGTGAAAAAAGGAGACTTACATCGTAGTTGAGCCAGATGGAGAGTGTGCGCATAGCTTCCATGAGGCGGGGCATGTGGCTCATCTCGCTCTCCACCAGCCGCCACTTGCTCTGAGTCACCTTAGTAGGATTCACCAAGTGCAAGGACTAGAACACTCACATCGTAGTTGAGCCAGATGGAGAGGGCGTGCATGGCCTCCATGAGGCGGGGCATGTGGCTCATCTCGCTCTCCACCAGCCGTCCGATGCGCAGCCACATGGGCCACCCCACCTCCGAACCTGGATCGCCCATCCTCTCCACCCGAGCCACTGCCCGAGCCTCGCGGTCAGCCTCGGAGCCTTCGCCGAGCCACTTGTTGAGCACCACCTGTGGAGAGGGAGGGAGGAAACGAAGGGAGGAAAGAAGGGAGCAGGCAGGGAGTGAAGAGAGGGGAGGGAGGGCGGAGGAAAGGAATGGAGAGTTGAAGAGTGCGTGCTGAAATCTCTGCAATCTCTGAAACTCTGGCAGAAATGCCTGAAATCTGTGACACTCGCACGCACACTCTTGCCAAACTCACCCACGCACACACCCCCACTCCACTCACCCGAGCACACACCCCCACTCCACTCACCCACGCACACACCCCCACTCCACTCACCCACGCACACACCCCCACCCCACTCACCCACGCACACACCCCCACCCCACTCACCCACGCACACACCCCCACCCCACTCTCCCGAGCACACACCCCCACTCCACTCACCCGAGCACACACCCCCACCCAACTCACCCGAGCACACACGTCCAGCTCCCGCTCTTCCATGGGAGCCCCCCAGCTGTTGATGCGGAGGAAGTTGAGCAGCACCTCATACGCCCATGCGTGCTGCCTGGGCAGGTGGCATGCTCGCACACAGACAGCCACCCACACGCACTCAAACCCATCTCTCTGATACTTGCACACACACACGATCAGACACACACACGCACACCCAAACCATTGGACACACAAGCACCCCCACCCAACTCACCCGCGCACACAGGTCGAGCTCCCGCTCTTCCATGGGCGCCCCACGGCTGTTGATGCGGAGGAAATTCAGCAGCACCTCATACGCCCACGCGTGCTGCTTCCTCATCTCCTCACTCCTCAGCACCGCTGCCACAAACTCGGAAACATAGGAGCTCTTCTGCTGCTGCTGTTGCTGCTGCTGCTGGTGCTGGGCGGCCGATCGCGGTGTGAGAGCGCGTGGCGTGCACCCCCCGTTGCCAGGTGTCAGCGCGCCGTTCGTCCCGCCGCCCCAGTTGCTGCCGCCGCCCCAGTTACTGCCGCCGCCCCACCCGAACCCGTTACCGTTGTTACCGCGGTTACCGCCGCCGCCACCACCGCTGTAAATGCTGGCAGTGCTGGTAAGGGCTGCAGCAATAGCACCCGCAAAACCTCCACCACCACTAGCTGCAGCAGCACCAGCAGCAGAAGCGGAAGCGCTACGGGCACCAACACTGCTGACAGAAATTTCGCTGCCCGGACCGAGCCCTCCTTCCTGCGACAAAACGTCGTCCTCCACTACCCCAGCCCCGCCCCTGCTGCCCGTGAAACTGCCCATGAAAAAATCCCACCTCTTGCTGCTACTCCCACTCCCCCCTCCTGCACTCCCAACCGCAGCAGGATTCCCACCATCCGCAGCAGCACCTTCCCGGCAGCTTCCAGCGATACTCCTAGTATCCGATTTACTATCCGCCCCTGCTTTCTCCTTATCCACCCCCCCGTGGCTTTGCATGGCAGAACCCCAGGCAGAGGCAGCAGCAAGAGCAGCAGACGCCCACTTGGGAGTGTTCGAACTGAGGAGAGAGACCGAGGAGAGGGCGGCTGGGTTGGGGCTGTGGGAAGTAGTAGATTTCGGACTGCTTTGCTGGTGCTGCTGGTGGTGCTGGTCCTGGTGATCCTGCCCGTGCTGCTGTTGGCTGTGGCTTTGGCTCTGGCTGTAGCGGTGGCTGTAGCGGTGCTGATGGTGGTCGCTGGTGATGCTTCTCGGGCTGGAAACCACACTCGATGGGCCTCCTCCAGGTGTCCTAGGACTGGCCTGAGGTCCGGCGGCGCCGCCGTTGCCGTGGCTGGAGGTTTGGTACCCGGCGAGGCTGCCGGCAGCTTTGGCGCCAAAGCTAGAAGCGCCTGTGCTGACATAGCTGGTGCTGGGACGCTGTTTTTGTGACCCGAAGAGAGAAAGGACCCCTCCCAACGCCCCCCCTCCTCCACCACCCTTACCACTGGCAGGGCCAGTCTCTTTAGCTGAAGCGGAAACCCCAGCTCTCCCCCAAGACGTTGCTGCTCTCTCCGACGTGCCTACTACAGACACGCTGCCGGTTGCACTGCCGCCCGCACTGCCTGCCGCGCTGCCGCCTGCGCTGCCGCCCAGTCCGAGCATCCCCGCCCCGGCAGCTCCTCCGGGCGGTGTGCCGGCCGCCCCGCTCCCGCCGCCCAAGAACCGCACTGATTTCACTGCAGCTGTCAGCTTAGCGAACCTCATGGCCACAGATTGCACCCCACGCCCCACAAACACCATCCTCACAACCGAATCAAACCCCTCTGCACCCAGCCTCCCACTCGCCACCGCCCGCAACCCCGCATGAAACGCCGCCTCCTCCACCCCCATGCCTTCCACCGCCGAAGCTACAGCCATGGTATCGTCTGGGTGCAGGTTCGGCAGGTCCCGCATGGCTGCCGACAGCGTCATAGCCAGCAGGCCCGGGCCGAGGCTGAGCTGAAGGTACAGCCGATCCTGCTCCTCGCATCGCTCCTCCAGGCTCGAGTGCTTGGCAGCGGCTAGGCCTTCAGCTAGAGCAACTTCGGAGAGAGAGGCGAGGGACATGGGGGACCAGGCGGTTCGGAAGGACGGGCCTGGGACAGAGGGAGAGGGCGCGGAGAAGCTGGGGAGCCGGCCACGACGCTTCTTTGGCTGCTTCCGAAGGCTTCCAGTGGTGCTGCTGCTGCTACCCGCAATAGCAGAGGCAGAGGCAGAGGATGCAGATGCAGGAGTGAGAGAGATCTCCTCCCCATCATCTCTTTCCTCTAGTACCACCTCTAACACTTCCCCACCCTCCCCGCCTCCTTCCCCGTCGCACCCACTCGCCTCCTGCCACATCAGCAGCCGCTGCACCGCTGGTGTCGCGGCCGCCATGGCTGTCGCCGCCCGGTCCTCACAAGAGGACAAAATCGCCAGCAGGCACGACACGACAAACGAGCGGCACGCAGGCAGGTTCGCGCCCGCCCGCTTGCCGCCCAGGAGAACAGAAACATTATGAGGGGAGGTGGAACGGGGGGAGGCTGCACCTGGAGGCAGGTGAGAACCAGTGCTGCTGATGCTGATGCTAATACTGGTGGTAATATTCATGGTCTCAGCACCAGCACCTGCACCAGCAGCACCAGCAGCATGGATAGGGGTGGTCCAGGGACGCATGCCATAGGTGGGGGAGGAAGGCGTGCTGTTCAAAGGCGTACTGCTGAACCCACCCATACCCCCTCCTCTCGTCGGCGTGCTCCCACCCGCTCTCGTCGGAGTCACCACACCGCTTCCTCTGCTGGGAGTAAGACCACCCCCCCCTCCCCCTCCCCGCTGCTGCTGCTGCTGCTGCTCCAGAAGCCGTTCAAAGAAGGCAATGCGGTCGAGCACGCGCAGGAGGATCACAGCGGCTGTGGCAGGGCGCCACGCGCTGATAGCCGCAGCCACGCCCACAAACAGGAGAATGTCGTCGTGCTGGCACCGCGCCGACAGGAACCGGTCGCTCCCCCCTCCTGCCAATGCGTCCTTCACCAGCCGAGACATTATCGACACAGCTGCCCCTCCTCCTCCTCCTGTCCCTGCTCCTCCTGCTGCTGCTCCTCCCGCTGCTGCTGTTCCCACGCCTGCCCTGCCCCCGTCGGCTCGGCCAGCATCGTCGAACTCAGGCGGCGGGCGCCAGCGCTGCTTGCGGTGTGGAGTGATGGTTAGGGTTGGAGGGGAGGAGAGATCAGAACCACGCGACCCTTCTAGCCCCCCTGCTGATACTGTTGCCCTTGCTGCTGCTGCCCCTGCTGCTGCACCTGCTGTTCCTACTGCCCCTGGCGCTGCAGCAGCTGGAGAGCTAATAGACCCTTGTTGACTCGCCCCACGGCCCAGCCCTGAGGGCACATTCGCCGTGTACGGACGGTGCGATCTGAGCGGTTGCTGCTGCTGCCTATCAGAAACCGACGGCCGGGATTGCTCGCTAGTGAAAGGCCGCTCTGCCCCTGTGGACGCTAGTGCCCTCTCCTCTCTACAAGGAACCCTGTCATCCCTTGCCCTGTCGTCTCTTACCCTCCTGCTGCTACCGCCTCTCTCTTCCCTCTCAAGCCGACTGCTCGAAGCCCTCTCCCTCCTCTCAGCTGACCTGTCTCTCTCCCCTCTCTCCTCTCCCTCCTCTTGCACCCCCTCCGCCCGTGCTTCACCAGACTCGCCGCCCTCTGAGAGAGCAGCAGCAGCAGCAGCAACAGCAGAGGAGGTGATACTATGCCACTGTCCTGCTGCCAGTCTTGACCCCTTGTGCTTCCCTGGCGAATCAATCACTTCTCCTTGAGACACCGCTGCTCCCCCCACAAACAGCTCCGCGCCCCCCGCTCCTCTCCCGCCTCTCCCCCCTTTTCCCCCTCCGCCTGCCCCTCCCCCGCCCCTGTCCCCCGCCCCCTCTCCCCCTTCCATTCCCCCGCCCATCCCATCCCCGTCCTCGTGTACCCCTGCCACAGCAGCAGCAGCA